TGTCCCCAAAATATGCAGATTAGAGCCAGCCCTTCAGGGGGCTTTTTTTCTAGCATCACAATAAGCTTTAACTGGTAGGAAAACAGCTTTTCAGTTTCCGTGGGCTCTGTCTTATTGGAAAAGCAGCACAAAAATTGTTCTGAATCTCCAAGGAGTTACCAGGTGCTTAATGACTTGCCATGGTAATCCACAACTGAGTTCTGGGAAGTCATTATGTGAGACATTACCTACCACCCTCCTCTGCCTTTGAGAATCAGATGAAACACAGTCTGGGTGAACTGGAAAAAGCATTGGTTTTGAAGTCTGACAAACCTGAGTTTAAGCCAGGATTCTGGCACTGAGAGCCATATCATCTTTGGACGAATTGCTTATATCTTTGAGCCTCAAGATACTTACCTGTAAAATGGGTGTAATATAGATCTTGCAAGGTAAGAATTATGTAGGGAAAATAAGAAGGCTACTTACCTACTGCAGCACAACAAATTACCCCCAAAACTCAGAGGCTTAAAACAACACTTCTGATCACATTTTATGTGGGTGAGGAATCTGGGCATGGTTTAGCTAGGTCCTTCAGCTTAGGATCTCCCAAGGCTTCAAACAAGGTGTCAGCTAGGGATACAGTCTCATTTCCAGGCATAACTGGGGAAGGATCTGCTTCTGAGCTCTCCCATTGGTTGCTGGCAGGATCTAGTTCCTCATAGGCTTTTGGACTGAGCGTATTGGTTCCTCACTGGCTGTTGGTGGGAGATCTCCCTCAGTTTCTTGCCATGCGGTCCTCTCTATAGGGAAGCTCACAACATGGCAGTTTGTGTCATCGGAAGAAGGCAAGAAGAGTCAGAGAGAGAGATTACCAGACAGAAATCCGTCTTTTATAACCTAGTCTTAGAGGTGACATCCCATCACTTTTGCTATATTCTGCTGGTCAGAAGCAACTTAGGAGTCCAGCCCACATTCAAGGGAAGGGGATTACATGGCTGTTAAGTGTCAGGAGGAAAGGACGGTTGGGAGCCATTTTGGAAGCTGTCCGCCATGATATTGAAACATTCTCAGTAAATAGTTGTTATGATCAGACATGACAGCATTTTGTTCATCACAGAAATAAAAGAAATATATTGGCGTATGTATTAGGGTCAGGAAATTTAACAGTCTATAATAGTCTATAAAAGAAGCTGATGCTAACCAATGCTAGGTTTTCCAAAGACTACATTTAAAGATGCATTTAACTTATATTAAATACTGATTTGAATTTCATAATCAAATAGCAATGTTTGGAGTTAAAAGGCACTAATTTCCCCTACCTAATGTTTTATCATATATCCAAATCCCTTTCTAGATATTTTAGGATGTCCATGGTATTATGGGGATGTAAATAAAAACATGCATCTTGGTTTTCTCAGTTAGCAATATTATGAAGGCTTTTAATCCTGCTGTACGTTCTTCAATAATTAGCAGCTTAATAGCGACATAATATTTCTATTCCATTGATAAATGTAAGAGCCGTGGTTCACTTAACCATTCCCTTATTCTCTGATATACAAGTTGCTTCAGTGTTTTGCCATTAAAAGCAAAGCGGTGATTGAATATCTTTCGTGTGGCGAGTCCCCCCCCCATTTGGATTATGTCTTTAGGATAAGTCCCAGAAAAGCAATTAGAGTATGCACACTTTAATGGCTCTGTCAAGTTTTTATCCAAATGAGAAGAGAGCTTCGGTTTTTTGAAGCAAACACTACTCCATCAGCCCCAGACTGAATTCCTCCAAGACAGACATCCTAGCTTACTTAGAACAAAACAAAAACAAACAAAAACCATGGTGTCTAGCCTACAGGGACATTTGATGAATATTTTGTGGACTGAATGAGTGAACAAAAATATTTAAAAATCTGAGACTTTAGCAAAAATTTACTCTGGCTGATGTGCCCTGTGTCTCTTAGAACTTCACGGTACTCCCCTCCCCACCCACCCCATCCCACCCCACCCCGACTCTTGTTTTTTAAGAACATTTAGTCTTATTGCAGGAACTATCACTTTCAGTCCTTAGACCCAGAAGACCAAGTTGCTTGCACAAGCTCCTATTTGCACCCCCTGTTCCAAACCATCGCTGGCTTAGCGGCCAACCTTGAACCACAGCGCCCCCACGTGGGCAGCATGTGGGCTTTTCTACCTGGGCGATTTCTCACCCAACCATTGCTTCTCTTTTTCTCCTCTCAGGTGAAGGAGGCCATGCAACGGATCCACGACCGGGGGAACATCGGCAAATTAATTCTCGATGTAGAGAAGACCCCGACTCCACTGGTGAGTCAAAAGTAGAGGGTCCGTTCAACACAAAAGGGCTTATCTGGTGCTGGCACATGTCAGGTAGGGGGAAATGCAAGCAGTGCTGGCTGGCGGCAGACCAGTGTAATCAAATGATTGTGCAAATGAGCGATGAGTCCCAGAACTGGGACACAGGCTAAAACAGAAAGGAAGATGCTCCAGTGAGAGCGTTTCAAGAGCAATCTGAGGACAGTCAGGAAAGGACGGGGTTGATCTGTGTCTATTGCAAGTGCTGTCTCTTGGCTGCCATAAGTGGGAGGGATTCCTGGTAAGTCGAATAAATTCACATTCACATATTCAACAGAAGGATGCCACCTGCCTCTGAGATGCCGCCTGATGATTGCACTGATTTCGCTTCCTTTAGTCAGGATGACACCCTCACATCCAGGGATCCCATCAGGAGTGAAGCATGTCATGCTCACACCCTAGCCCTCTTGCAAGGGCCCCTTGCAAGTGGTGGGCAATGTAGTGTGATGGTCAACACACAGAGTGTCATCGGACCGCGTGGCTTTGAAACCTGGTTCTGATCTCCCGTGTGAGACCCTGGGTGATTATTCCGCTGCTCCGTCTTCAGTATCCCCATAAAGTGGAGATCGATCAGTTCTCACAAGTCAGGTGGAATGATATAAATAAGGCATTGGCTGGTTCATACTAAGTTCAAGGAAAGGTTTAACAAAGAAAATACTTAGGAAGGGTTTTTTTATTTGTTTGCTTTCTCACCTGTTTAGTTTTAAACCTGCATGAGGCATTTGTAAAAGAGAAAGAACTAAAATCTTTACATGTTTTACTGTGTGTGTGTGTTTCCTTTTTGTTTTGTTTTATTTAAGTGTTTCCTTGGGTTTTGTAAACTTAATGTAGTTCAGGAGTGATAGTCATTTCACTCAATGAAGGATGACTTCAGGAGAGAGCATTTTACAAAATGCAAGTGACTGATAACAATAGGTGCTTTGTTTATTAAGTGCTTCCGAAGTCCCAGGACTCTGCCAGTAAATGTTTGAAGGCAGATGAGGGGTTGAAACCCGGGAGAATGGGGCTAGGCCCCAGGTTTTCTGTACACCTATGTTGTTCTTAAAACACATGACCAGATCTATTTTAGCCTACCAGTAGAGGAGATCTAGAGCCATCATGGAGAGTTTGTTGCTTTTAAGCAGGACAGTTGGCATCAGCTTCCTGCCTGTCTCCATAACACATGAGGTCCTCTTGGGCCCTCAAGCTCTATGAAGGCCTCTTTGACCATGGGGGTCTGTGAGCAGAGCAGAAGCTGAAAAGCCCAACTCTGAGGGCTCAGGGCCTGCCTTGGCATACGCTGTGGTCCTTGTTCTGCAATCTCAGGAGGGCTCTTATGAGGCTTTGGCTAGAACCAAAGTACATATCTTCACAGAAAGGACATTCCAATGGTGGGGATGTAGACAACAAAGTAGACACACACAGCTGTTAGTTGTCCTGGCTCTTAGGAATTGACAGCATCAGGATTTGAACCCTGGCCTGTCTGTGCTGTGGATGCTATGAGTGTCCCCATTCCCCCAGCACCTGATCCTTCTGTCTGAGAGCCTCCAGCCACAGGAGCGTGTTTGGACAGCATGTATACAACTGGCCAGAGATGTCGGGGAGAAAACCCACCGTGGCCATTCCCTGGCTTCTTATCCTTCATGTGGAACAACTGTGAGATGTGTCCCTCACTGGCTCCCAGTGGTCCCCAGCATGAATGAGCCCCAGCTGCCCACAGTAGGAGCCTACTTATTAACACACGCTGTGCCGACTTCCCTGCCTTTTCTGCCTCATCTCCTCCCTCCTTACCTGTGCTTCCTGGAATCATCTCCCAAATTCCAAATATTTGCACTCAAATCCTTATCTCAAGAGTCTGCTTCTTAGGACACCCAACATCAGACAGCCAGCACCACACTGCCTTCCTGGGGAAGAAAGCGACCCTAACTCTTAGCCCTCAAAGAAGTCCTTCCCAAGGAGCCTTCCTCAGATGCACAGAGAAGGTAAGAGACAGCCTGCAGACCCTCTAAAACATCCTCTGTTGACTTGCAGATGGCCAACGACAGCACAGAGACCAGCGAGGCGGGAGAAGAGGAGGAGGACCACGAGGGGGACAGTGAGAACAAGGAGCGGATGCCCTTTATCCAGTAACCCAGGACCCAGGCAGGAGAATGTGAAGGATGGTTTGGAACAAGAGGAGCCTGTCGAGAAAGCTCTTCTGTGCCCCAGTGAACAAATGCTGTAGTCCACTGTGTGTTGTGTTTGTCTGCAGTCAGCTGAGCTAAAAGCTGTTGATCACTGTTGTTTCTGAAATTAAGTGCCAAGCCCATCCCATGCAGTATTATGTCCCTCCCCCATCTGTGTATTACACTCCCCCCTCTCTCCTACTTCAAAACCATCCATCTTTGGGTCCTTCTTGACAGTTCTAGAACAGCCTTGCAAATTAATACGAGCCCACAGGCCCAATGCCTACGAGACCAGACATGGGCAAAGACAAGTTTGGATTGAAAGGTGTTATCATAAAAGCACTGTCCAGATCCTAGAATTCTTCAGGCCAATGACACTTTTTGCTGCCAGGCACCCATGATTCTGACAAGGGCACTTGCCAATGTGGCTGGCAGAAGGAGGGTAGGCCAGGAGGTGCTTTTATAAGCCTATACGTTTAGGATCTCTCTAAATAGTACTTTCCCTCTCCCCATTTAGGAGGCAACTTCCTTGTATCCATTCAGTTGTTTATTGGTCAAAAAGGTTGAACCCTCTCCTCTCAGCCTCTGATGCTTGATCCATTCATGGGTTTTTAACCATCAGCACAGGAAAGTAGATGTGGATTTTTCAGGACAGAAGATGGGTCAACAGCATGAGTCTGAGTATCGGCCACAGAGACTTCTCCTCTGAAACCAGGTCTCATGAGCAAAATCCTCCTCCCTGCCCACCATATATGTTTTCTATTAATTTCAAGAAAACTCACCATATGTGGGACTATTTCAGAAGTCATTACTGAGATTTGCCTACGTTTGCACACTCCCATGGGCATTACCGATTTCGCTCTTTCAATTCCAGGTAGTTAACAGCTGCCTTGGCTGAGGATACCCCAAGGAAGACCTCCCTTGTAGACCATATTAGGAAAAATAAATAAATAAATAAATGAGTATCTCTTTTCTTGCCAAAGCATGTTCTGACATGTAACAAACTCTAGCGATACAATCAGCTGATGTTCAGTATCTGATGCCAAATGTGCAGTTCCTCTCCTCTAAAATATGAAATTATGGTGCAGGCTCTTTGGAAGCCCCTGCTTTTTGGAATTCAGGGACCAAACTACTTGATTATACACCACTGTCTAATTTTCCAGCTCCTAAACTCTTAAGAAACCCCATACCCCGCTGCACCATATGTCTTGAGGTGAACAGTTCCCCTGAAGGATGAGAGAGAGGCTCAATGTCTCCACAAGGGGGTCCTTATTCCCTCCTCTCACTTTGGCTCAAAGGGTGACTCTTTCACTCACAAACCAAGCTGGAGACCCAAGGAGCCCATGTGATCAGCGCCCTCCTCCTTCACTTTGTCTCCTGGAAGACCTTGGAGTGCTCCTGACTGCCCCATCTCTCCACCAGTGAGCCTTAGGGAAGACCCAACTCTTTCCCCCAAACGATGGGAAGGAATGCATTCCAGCAATTACCTTTTTATTTCCAAAGTCCTTTTGTAACAAATATCACCTCATTAATCATGTTCTTTTTTCCTATCCTAAGCTTGTGATGGTGACTTATTTATGCCAAATATTTATCTGAAGGGAGTTTCTCCTCATTGCGAATATACGTGTAAAATATGGGGAGAAGAAAGGGTGCTGCCATCTGATGAGCAGAGAGATGAGAGTATCTCAGAAGAAGACACTCACATCATCTGTTCATACCCCAGGACTCACCAATATTTCATTTCTGGGCCACTCAGAAAGATAATGTGGAGGTTTATCACCCCCCCACCCCCCCCCACACACACACTTTCACTAAACGCTGTGTTATTGGTCATATTTCTCCCCTAACCAAGCTGATAATGAGGTGTTAAGAAGAACCACTACCCAAGTAACATTCCTGGTGAGCTGGACAGAAATGGCATTTTCTAGGGCTGGGGTAACAAAGAGCCAGTGGCCAAATCAGGGCTGTCCTCTGCGAGGGGAGTGGGAATCCAAACGGCCTTTGTTCTGTCCAGAGGAGAGGCGTTAAAAAAAAATCATGCTTCCCCAAATCTGTTTTTCAACCAGCAAAATTAATACAGTCATCACAAATAATGGCAGTTGGCTAAAGAAAACCCTTTTGTCTCTTCAGAATACCGAGTCAGAAGAGTAAACTAGAGTTTGACTATCAAGGTCCAGTTACGCCATGAGGAACAGGAGAAAGAAAAATGCCAAAATTAGTCGTTTAATGCACTCTTGTTTTAAGCACCTTCTTCCTGTCACGTGATTGGTTTTCTGAAGGAAGTATAAAGAAAGTCTCAGTTTGCCTTAAAGGAACTGTGAAGGCTTCTCTGTCATTTAAACTTGATTGGAGTGAACTGAAACATTGTCTAACGTATTTGTGGCTTTAGAGCTTTTGTTACATTGTGCCTACAAAGCAAATTATGTTTACATAAAATATATAAATAAAGTATTCAGCATAGCATAACCTCGCCTGGCATTGGTGACTCCACTTAAATAGTTGTTGGAAAAGCAGCCCCACTATTAAAATGGAAGAAGTGGGTGACTAAACAAGAAAATATATATATATGTGACAGAATTTTCAAATGAAAAACTAAAGACTGTAGAGAAGATAGGAGTCGAGATGAGCCTTTAAAAGAAACATTCGAACTCACTCAAGCAAGAAAGTATAACCACTAAGTAATGTAACTACTAAACACATCATATAAAAACAACAATAATTATAATGGTGCTTATAAGGTACCTACATATGCTGTTAAGAGAGCTACATAAAATTAAATAATATTTACATTAACTTGCCTACCCTGCCAACAGCCCATTTTATAGGTGACAAGACTGAAGATTAAGGTTTTTGCACTTGGCCAAGATCACACAGCTAGTAAGTGGTGGGGCCAGGATTTCTAGCCAAGCTAGAACTCATGCTCTTAATCATCCTATCATGCTTCTTGGCTTAAATAGGGTGAAATATGGTGCATTTTAAATGACCATCTCTTGTTCCCTAGAAACTCTTCAGATATTGTTTCCTCTGATTTCAAGGATATGTTTGTAAACTTGTTTTGCTTTGTAGCAAATAACATGCATATCAAGAAGCATTTTTTTTTTTCCTGGCCCTCCATCCTAGTGTTCAGTGAGGTACTGATTTTAAAACTCACACATCTCTCTCTCTCTCAAAAACAAAAACAAAAACAAAAAACGAAAACAAAAAACCCCCTCATACATCTCAACCATTTTCATTTTCATGATCTAATATCCTCAATGTAATCAAAGAGATACACAACAGTAAATCCTCAAGGCTAAGATTTCATGAAAGAGAATTCATGATTAGGGAGTCTTTACTGTGTTTCCCATATTCTCAGCAGGAAGCCAAAAAAATAGACCCAAGACCCTGTCAATAAAATGCCACAGACACGTAAACCTGAATTTGCAAGGGAGAAATATTACTCACGTTGTCAGTGAAATTCCTTCAAAGTGCCTGTACAAAGGATTTTCTTACATAATCTGATTTAATGTTCACATACTCCGTATAAATCTCACGGTCTCACTTAGCCAGCGCTGGTACACTGTCCCATTTAAACACAACCCAGCAACTAGAATCTAAACTAAAATCCACATCTTCACTTACAACTCAGAATGGGGAACAGCCGTTGGAAACAGAATTCTTTTCAGCACTGTGAATGAGGTTTGGGTGGAAATGTAGGTAAATCTTTCAAAAGCCATCCGAGGCACAGGGAAACGTTTGTGGAGAAGCAAGGAGGTGAGAACTTCTGAAGGGCATACTGAGGAGTGGAGAGGAGAACAGTGGAGCTGAAATCCACACATGGGGATGGAGTGGGACAGGAGAAAGGCACGATGGGAAGCCAGTACCAGGTGTGGAGGTCTCTGAATGCCAAGCCGATGATCCTGGATTTCTGTGGAAAGGAACAAGGTATGAGGTGGTGGTATGGCCTGAAAGTTTAGGCATGGAGGTGATTACCAAGAGTAAATGTGGGGTTCAGTGCAAACAGGGATAGGAGATGAGCCTAAATATGGCTCCAGTGGGACATCAAGTACCTCGATTCTCTGCTGTACTGCTTTGGGTCCTCTGGAATCAGACACTGAGTGTCAGAGCAAGGACTTGAGCACCAGCAGCAGCATTGGGAGGTGATTCCAAGAAGCACAGCTCGGGGAAGAAGACGATAGAACAGGAAAGGAAAGAAGCCAGCTCAGGGTGTGTTGATGAGCAAGTTACCACTGTAGGGGAGGTAAACAGGTCCCCGAGTTTTCTCATTTGAAAGATGAGGAAGTTGTCATATTACCCATCAATCCCCATGCATCCTTAGTAGCAGGCTGCTTCTAACAACTGTATTGATGCCCTGATGCTCCTGACCTTCTCCTTGTGTGAATCATGCACATTACTGTGGCCAAACAATGCCCTTGGATGCACAGCCACAAGAAGCCACTAGGATATGGAGGAGCAGCAAGGTGATCTGGAACACATAAGTTCTCACAGCTCCTACTGTAACTCTTCCAGGGAATTTGCTTTCTTCCAAAGTCCAAGGGGGACACTGTTGAAGCTTTCCAGTAACCATAATCCAGGCTTACTAACTACTTCCCCACTCCAGCTATTCCATCACACCACCCTTTCTGTTTTTGCTTTTTTTTTTTTTAACAATTTTACTTATTTATGAGAGAGCGAGCAAGTGAGAGAGAACATGAGCCAGAGGTAGGGGCAGAGGGAGAAGCAGACTCCCCAATGAGCAGGGCTCAATCCCAGGACCCAGGACCATGACCTGAGGTAAAGTCAGCCACTTAACCCACTGAGCCACTCAGGTGCTTTGTTTCACCTTTTATTTTGTTAATTGGTCTCTTGACTTGAAGAATATGGTTTCTGAACATAGACAGCCAAAATGCCTCCCTTCACCCAACCTTCACTGTGACGAATTCCTTCACTGGGGTCTTCCTACCAAATTTCAGGTCTTATCACTGGGGCCAGAAGATCTGGGACTCTGTGTTAAATGAAGACACATGTTTGTTCAACAGATTTTTAGTGAACATTTACGGGGTGTAGGACCCTCTTCCTGGTCCTAGAAATAAGAGACAGACATCTCCTCAAGAAATTCACAGTCTAAAAAGAAAGAAAAATAAATTCACGGTCTAAAACTGTGCTATCCAGTAAAGATGTGAAGATGAGCCACATACAAAGTTAAGTTTTCTAAGAGTCAAATTCAAAAAGTAAAAAAATATATATATATTTCATTTAACCTAATATACAGAATGTTATCATTTCAACATATAGTCCATATGATTATTAATGAGACATCTTACACTCCATTTTTCAAACGAAGACTTCAAAGTCAGGTGTGTGGTTTAACACAGCACATCTCAGTTTGCCCTGGACACACCACAAATGTTAGAGCTTGTGAGTTGGGGCATCCATTCTGGACAGGCAGGTCTAGGGAATGGGCAGAAATGGACGCCAATATATGCAACATAGCTTCAAAGAGGCAACGTCGGAGGGCAAGTGTGGGCACAGGTAGGGAGGGATCAACTCTGTGATAAAAGAGGATGTCAAGGGAAGTGTACACAGAGGAAGTGATGCTTGAATGAAGTCCTTTAAGAGGTGTGGGTGTTGTTCGTGAGCGTAATGTACCTGATGCACACAGCACTGTGCCTGGAACGTAGCACAATCAACACTGGCTTCTTTTCCCATTTGTTAATGCAGGGAAGAAGGGTGTGCTTGGGAAATACTCAGTAGCTGCCCCACCCCTTTTTTTAAACAATAGGGAATATATAGATCTCAATGTTTCACTTCTAATTTGATTGTGGGAGAAAAAATATGACTGAATGTTTGTGACTCTCCGAAATTCCCATGTTGTAACCCTCCCTCTCTCCCATGGGATAGTATTAGGAGGTGAGCTTTCAGGAGGTAATCAGAATTAGGTGAGGTCATGAGGGTGGACCCTTATGAATGAGATTACTGCCA